ATGCAAAGCCAATTTTGTGGTCTTTTCATAGCAGCCCCCCCCCCCCCAATTGTGCAAGGGGCCTGGTGTCCCCACCTCTTGCTGCTGAGTGGCTGAGGGGCAAGAACTGTGGCATAATTAAATAGCAAAATCTGCAGAAATATCAAATAAATTACTTCTTTATTATAGATCTAAGTATTAAATTTAAATCTAAATTGAAATATAAATCTACACACAATATGAATTGTAATTAATATCACAATTTATTGTTGGCATTCCGCAAAAAAATTTAGTAATACTAAATAAAGCTAGCTTTAATAGAAACAATTCCTATTAGTTAAGTTCTAGCATGCAGCATCCACCGACAGTTGCAGCTGACAACCTCTGTCTGCGATATAAACACTTGTCCATACACTAAGATCGCATGTTCTACATCTACTGAAATAGTTGGAAAGGTATGGCAGCATTTTGCTGAGTTGTAAAGATGTGGAAAGCAATTGGAAACATACTCCTAATACAGTCACAGTCAAAGGTATCTGGCACTCTTTGACAAAGTTCATGTAAGTAGCATGTTGATTGATTTTAGTAGCTAAGGGTCAAATTTTAGAAAAGGCACCTGATTAGGATAAAAAATGCAAACAGCACTAAAAAAGGAAGCAGCGGTTGTTGAACCTGTGGTGGTACTGACTGATCGTACTTGTAGTACCGATTCAACTCTACAGCTGTTCCCTAGAACATTTCTTGTCTTCACATGTTTTCACATGTTGATAGTTTCATGTCTCCACATGTTGATAGTTGTGATGCCATGTCTTTGACCCAACTTATCAAATCCATCGGCTTATTGTGTGCTTGGTGGATGAGAATCTGCTGACTTTCAAACCATGTGAGAAGCTCCACGAACCAGATGGCATTTTCAGCCATAAACTTAACTTGATCTTCAATGTTTCCCTGTCTTAAGACATCACATACTTTAAGCATGCACTGTGTGCTGCGAGTGATTTCAAGCTCCTCACAGGAATTGCTGGTAGTACTTCATATTCTTTGCATGGTAATGAACTGCATTAAACCACAAATTCCACCGTGCAAGCACTGGCTCTGGTGGTAGTGACAGTCACACGTAGATCCATGCTTTGATTGGCAATGGACTGCCTGTATTGAAGCTTATGTCCTGGACAATGTTTGAACACTTTTTTGAAATAGGAAACATCAGGAAAATATGTACACCGGATGTCACTTACTAAAGAAAGGAAGCATGCATTGCAAGTGACATGAATTGTGTGGGGTATCATTCCCTGGAGCACATCAGAAGAAGCTTTGCACATATCCATTGCATTTTCAGACAGAAATGCTCAGATCTTGTTAAATTCTAAGCTGTAGTTTATAACAGCCTTCACTACAGCTTGTGCCATGGGAGAAAAATGGACAGGTGCATGGTGAACTGGCTCTGTTTGAAAAACAGGCAGGTTGCAGTTTGACCACCTCCCAGGTACAAATAAAATGGGCAGAACTTGGTTATCTTGGGCATTTGTCGCTTCATCTGCTACAATCAAGATGGATTCATATTCTGCCAATGCAAGTTTTCTAGACTGAAAATACAGAGCAATTACTCCTGGTAGATAATTTGGTGAAGATTGTTTGCACATGGGAAACTACCAGCATTTGGGATGTGTTTGTTCAAGTAGTCCCTTAATTCAGGGTTATCAATTTTCTCCAGAGGAATGTTGGTGGCTGTGAATTCCTCCCACTAGTGGGACTGTAGCCTTTCTTCTTATGGACCTGCATTCAGTGGGGGGAGGGTTTTTTTTGTTTTTTTTTTTTAAAGATTGAGGACATAGTTGTTCCGTGCTCTGACCTTCAGCCTCTGCTGCAGCCTTTTGCTTTATATGTGATTTGCACTCCAAACAATGATGAATGCTATTTTTCCTTGATGCATCCAGAGTCATATTATATGATGAACATCTGCATGTAGGTTCCTATAAGGAAATGCCTCCTACAATCCTGAGCTGAAAACTATTTAGCTTTCTTGGATTTCTTTTCACTCATCATCCTCAGACTGTAGCATTGCACTGGGCTTCTTAATAGATGGCCCCAAAACCATTTTTTTTTCCTGACTGGCACCGTCACTAAGTTTGTCAATAGCTCAGTGTCACGGTGTGGGGCCTAGGAGCGGCTGTGATCCTGCTAGCGCCCCTTACCGTGCCAAGTAGGCGATCCAGCACCCTCTATTCTCGCCTGCCATGTCTTGTTGGTTTATAGTTTTATATAGGAGGCTGCCTTTAGTCCACCTGGACGCGGTGCTATAACTAACCGGGCTCCTACTCTCTATGGGGTGACCTGGTGCACCCCCTGAGTCTTATGGGCTATGCGTGCCTCCTACCTCGCCTTTAGCATGCCCCAAGCTTCACAGCTCTTCCAGACATTATCTGGTCCTTTTCCTTTTTGTGCCCTGCCAGGCACCCTTGGACTTGTCACGCGACCGGCGCCTCTCTCTAGCACCCCTGGGCTTGTCACACAACCGGCGCCCCTTCTCTGGCGTCTCGGGCTTGTCACACAACCAGCGCCCCTCTAGTCGGTAGCCCTCTTGGACTTCCAACAATACTCTTTCCAGTAGGGCTCAGGCGGCTTGAGCCTTACCTGGCCCCTGTGACCCTTCAGGGTCCC